ATGCTTGATCAGACGTGTCAACTTTCTAATAAAGGTTAAAGCCACTGGCACATTACAGACCGTACACTCACAGAGAGTCTGACATGAGGAGCTGTGGTTTCCTCCCCACGCTGTGATCCTGCTGTGATCCTGCTGTGATCCTGCTGTGATCCTGCTGCGCTCTCAGCCTCGGGTTGTATGGATTTTGCAGCGAGTCAAAGTTCCGTCAATCAGATCAGCAGTGACCGAGCAGAGCGGCAGATAAGACACCGAGCGGCTGGAGGAAGTGGGAGGGGAACGAGAGGTCCCAAGCCCTGACGAACATTCAAGCATCAAGATCATTCTACAAACACCACCCACAAGACTCAGAAATACCAGAGTTTGGTTATTTCGGACAAAAACATGAGTGAAGTGAAGTGCTACTGAAGTCATTTACTTTCATGATAATGTTTGAAACAACTTTATAGTTTACCTTTATTTAGATTATTTTATTAAATAATGCAAAAGTAAAATAACTTATTTACTTTCTTGGGGCATTAACAAGTAATTAATTAGTAACTAATTACATTTTCAAAGTAACTTAGCCGACACTGATCTTGATTTATGCAAAAGTATGTTCCTGTTTTGAGTAACTTCTAATAGCCATTCACTTGTACTTCATTGAAGATTTGTTTTATTTATTTAGGAATATCTTGAAGAAGAAAAGAACATTTCTATAGTGATGTCACGATAATACCAAAAGATAATATATAGCCACAGGTCATGGTGCGATTTTTAAAACCATATTAATACCCCAATTCAATCAGCAATTCAGCCGTTCAAGCACAGACTCACATCACTTTGTTTCTTTATATCTATAACTTAACATTCCCCTCTGCAGAGCTCAGTGTTTTTTCATCGACCAGACACAGGAATAGCACAAACTTGGCAGTCGTGTGTTACACTGGGAAATGACAAAAGAATGAATGAAGAGCCGGTCTTTGTGAGAGGACCGCTTTTGGGTGGTCCGCAGGTTGGGACGCCGAGAGGGATCAGCCGACCTCCAACGACATCGCAGCGAAACCGCCACCACGTCCAACACGCACAAGAGAAACCAGGGCTATTTTTGATTTACCGTTATGTAATATAAGGTAATTTACGGAAAGATACACTGGTCTAACCCCACGTCCAGAGTCCAAGCCACAATCAGTCAGAAGTCTGCAGCACCACGGATTAGATTACAGCAAAGCACACATTTAAGACCATAAAACATCAACTGTAAAACAAGCAATTGATTTAAACGGGCTGTAATTATGGCCACACACTTTCATGGACCAGAGGAGGGAGGGAGGATCGTTCCAGGCTCTTTTCAGGAGACGAAAACAAATTCACAAAATATGTTTAAAATGACATCGCTCAGAACAAAACCACAGTGTGACAGATTATGACTTACTTGATGCTCAGGGTGTAAATGAAGAACTACAGATTTTATACTGGCTTTTTTATTATGCTAAAGTTAGAGATTTCATACTTGCTTCTTGATATTGCTAAAGTTAGAGATTTTGTTTTATTTTGGTATAGAGTTATTGTTCATGTATCATGTGCTGTGTGCTCCTCATTCCTACTGCTCTGTGACTTGTGATCCAACACTGACATTTCCTCACTGTGGGACAAAGAAAAAAGCTCTTTTATACTAATAATAATGTAATGGTTTTATTCAGCTCTTTTCTGGACACTCAAACACACTTCATATGTCATCATTCGTTCACTCCATACACGATGGTGATAAACTACTACTGTAGCCACGGCTGCCCTGGGGCACACTGACAGAAGCGAGGCAACCAGTCTGTGCCATCGGCCCCTCTGACCACCACCGACCCTTCACACACACACCAGACTCATTCTAATGTGGGTGAAGTGTCTTGCCTAAGGACACAACCACATTCTGGCACTTTACAGCCACACTACACTTTACACTTTACCGCCCCACTGTAGCCCCTGGTCTCCCATCACAGTACTTATCAGGCCCTGCCCTGCTTAGCTCTGACGGTATCTGGCTTGCACCTGCAGGTATGGACGCGACATCAACTGGATCTACTGAATAAACAAGATTCAGTTGATTGGATTGAGAGTAAACAATAAACTGTAGCTTTAAACTCCATATGACAGCTTCCACAGATCTTTTATTAAAGCTTATGGTTAAAGTATTATGTGTTTGTTTATGTTTACTTAGTTTTAAAGGCCAATGACTTCCTGCTTTCACGTGGACTTGACATGGGCATCGATGGAACCACAAACTAAACAAGGACCAAAACATCTCTATCGTTTTGAATGAACGTTTACATTTTCAGATAATGACTTTTTACTTGTGGAGGGATTTGATTTTTAGAAGTAGGCTTTACTATCTGTAAATTCAAAACCCTACAAGAAACAACCACTTGTCTCAGAATAATCAATGACTCTTCTGGCCCCTGGAAAAGCCATGTTCCAGCTTCTTCCCTCTGGCAGAAGATATTGTTGGCTGCAGGACATCTGGATGTGCTAACATGCTAACAACTTCTTTCAGTTGTTATTGGGCGGCACTCTCGCTTCTCAGCAAGAAAGTCCTTGGTGCAAATCCTGGTCGGGACAGGCCCTTTCTGAGTGGAGTTTGTATGTTCTTCCCGTGTCTGCGTAGGTTTCCTCCGGGTGCTCCAATTTCCCATTCCACTAAAAACAGGTATGCCCAAAACATTTGTAAAGTGCTCTGTGACTCTGCTCTGTGAAGGGCGCTATATAAATAAACATTACTTACTTATCTGTCTGAACAAAGCCCTTTAACAAAGCAGTTACAGTTACTAATACAGTCACAGTTACTTATGCAGTTACAGTTACTAATACAGTTACAGTTACCATTACAATGATCGTTACTATTAAAGTTATCGTTATCAATGACAACATTTAGTTTAACAGCAGGAGAGTTGCAGTGTTGAAAACGTGTGCTTGCAGCGCCCTCTATTGGTTTATTAACAGACTGACTTTAAAGTTTGGATCAAAAATATCAGAGAAAAACAGGACAAGATCTGACATTTAAGGATCAGTTTAGAATCAAAAAAGTATTTAATATAAATATGGTCCAAATGAACAAAGGTGGGACACTCAAAGAATCAGTCGACATCACATGAATCCAATCCACTTTATTTATATAGCACATGTTATAACACAAGTTTACAAAGTTCAGCATCAAGATAAAAGTAACAAATATACTGCAGGCCTGCCAGGTTTATGTATGTGTCCGAATACAGAGGAGAATAAAACATGATGATAAAAAACAATTAAATATAATTAGATATTAGATATATATGAACAATTAGATAAATACCAATTATATAAACATCAAAAGTAAGGATACAACTATAAGATTAAAAAAAACGCAGGACCTCATAACTCTTGCGGCAATACATAGTTCCCACAGACCAATGAATGTCACATGACCTCCTCGGAGACGCCATCTTTGATGGCACGCTGCTGTGTTTGTGCATTCCATTAAACAGAAGAATGAGAATAAATGTAGATATTCAAACGCAAATTGGAAAAAAAGGGCAACTTTTGAGCAAATAATTGGATATTAATACAATGGCACCAGTTTAACGTGCTACGGACATGTTTTACATATTTGATCAAATTATGCAGCAAAAATTAACAAGCAATGCAAACATTTCTCAAAAACTTTAGATTTAATACCAGTTGGAGCTCCATTTAATTATTTTAATTATATTAACAATTAATTTAATTAATGCTAATGCCACACGGACACTCTGGATTGCTGTTATTGTTTATTTCCGCGTTTTTGACCGTATGTTTTGGTGAATGGTGGGCAACTGATTTTTCCAGGCGTAAAGAGCAGTTTATTTTATGACACAGATCTTTTTACAGAAGCAATGCTGTTTGTGAACATTGTTTTAGCCCACCATAGAACTATTATTATCTATTTAATACATTTACGTTGCCCTCGAGAGCCTCGGACGCGACACCGATCCTCCTCATAATAAAGTAATCTAACGCTAAATAATGAAACTCTCAAGTTACCAGCTATCAGCATACACAAGTTAGTACTGAGTAAATTACGTCTGTCAACACATTATAAGATACGATACGCACCTGACACAAAGTGCTCCGAGCATATTCTTGCGTGTTTTGAGGGAGTTTCTTGCCTGTTTATCTTCGCAAGCCATAACCTCCGTGGTTGTTCTGACAAAAGCTTAGTCTTCTCACATTCATGAAGTCTAATGATGGGTATACTGTAAAATCCAAGTTTAACGGAACCTCCGGCACGATTTGAACATCCATTGACCCAGCAGGAGATGACCATTTTCAACTTTATCACGACATTAACACGTTTCAGCTTCTTTTTCTATTGTTTTGCCCACAGAATGCCAACACAAATGGCGCCGGGTCGGCAAATCCCCGTATGTAGTGACGTCATGTGGGAACTATGTATAAAAGCCTTGAGAGTGTTAGTACGTCTGAAGAAGATGAGGCAACGTAGAAGTCTGTTATAGTTTGTTGGAGCTTTGGTTTGTTCTTATTCTGTTTGTGAGCAGCTGCTGACTCCTGTATCATATAATCATCATCAATGGTTTTGTTTTCATATTAGTTTTTTCCCATTCCATGAACACTACAAACACATGCTTTAGATCAAAGTAACAAAGCCTGAAGCTTACTTCAGGTTTTATTACTGTGATCTAAGTATGTGTTTATAGTGTTCATGCAATGGGACTGAACCCATAATGTTATTAGCAATATTCTGCTAACAAAATCTCCACAAAGACAACAATGGGTATCACATGTTTGATGAATTGATAACTACAACACATAAAATAACCATGAGAAGATGGTCTTATTTTGTTCAGATACATTTTGCAAAATTTGAGCGATTTTTAGCTTGTTTGCATCTCTTTTTGCAGTGTAGGTCATGGATCTATTATGATAACGTGCAGGTTGAAAGCGCTGACGCAGAGCACGTCCGCTTGACCCGGAAGTGTGTGTTCATAACTCCAAAGATGGCGGAGCAGGGTCCGATGGCCATCGCGATGCGGCTCCGCAACCAGCTGCAGACCGTGTACAAGCTGGACCCGCTGCGGAACGAGGTGAGTGCTGCTGGGGGTCGGGATGGAGCTCCAGGGCTGGGAGAAACCCTGAGCCTTACACCGCCTCCAGGCCGGAGAGAGGCGCTCCGACTGCGGGCTCCGTGTGCGTCGTCTCCGGGAGATGGAGCTCCGAGGGATGGATGCTGCGCGGACCGAGAGGAGCTGCTGTTTAACTGTGCAGATACAAACACACAAACTCTGCACAAAACACCACCTCACACAGAGAGAGAACAGACCTGGGCTGATCACCCACAAACAGCGATGTCTCTCTGCGCCTGGACTTTGGGAACTCACGATGTCCGCTGCTCTTTCTTCTTCGGGGAAAGTGACGCAGAAGTGCGTGTGCGCCTGTAGAACTGTCGCTCTGTCAGAACCTGAACATAAATCTGCCTCCGCGGGTTTTCTGCAACTTTGTCCGCTCTGCCTTCTTTATGTACAGTACAGTACAGTACAGTACAGTACAGTACGGTACAGTACAGTTCTGTAGCGGACCACGTAGAACTTCTTCCCCGTTCACGCTCAGGCTCGAGGTTTACAGATGAACCTTTATGGTCCCTCAGCTGGTGCCCTGGGGTTAGATGGACATGTTTGTCCTCGTTCCACCGCTGTGTCCTCTGGTGTCATTAGTGACCTCAGGTACACACCTGACCTCAGGTACACACCTGTGGTAAGGCCGTGCATTTAAAACGCATCAATTTGTTATTTCGCTTCATTATTGTGAAATAATTACAGTGTAGACGCGAGCACATGCACTTAGAGCTGCAACATGTAATGTGTACATTTGAGAACGAGGCCCAAGTGGCAATCCAGGATGGTTCAAATGCAGAGGACAGAGTTCCCTTTGGGGATAAATAAAGAGCACACATATGATACCAGCATTCTAAACAAAGATCAATTGCTATATCAATCTTGCTAATATTTATTAATACTGTTATTTAGCGGTTATAGAATCCCTGTTTCTTATTGAGGCCGTGCATGTCAAACCAAAGTGACAGTATGGATTGACGTAGGTTTGTTGTCGTCTGTTTGCAGGAGGAGGTGAACCTGAAGATCAAAGACCTGAACGAACACATCGTTTGCTACCTTTGTGCAGGATACTTTATAGATGCCACGACTATTACAGAGTGTCTGCACACGTGTAAGTACGACGTCGTATCACTGCGCCTCCATCGTAAGCCTCATCTCTAACGTCTGCCTTCTCTCTTCTAGTTTGTAAAAGTTGTATCGTCAAATATCTTCAAACGAGCAAATATTGTCCCATGTGTAACATCAAAATCCATGAAACGCAACCTTTACTCAACCTCAAACTGGACCGAGTTATGCAAGATATAGTTTATAAACTGGTACCAGGGCTTCAAGAAAGTAAGTCCCACACAAACAGTGACGCAGTGTGAGTGTGTGGCGTGTAACCGGTGTGTGTTGCTCTGAAAACAGGTGAAGACAAAAGAATAAAAGAGTTTTATCAGTCCAGAGGCTTGGAGCGAGTCATTCAGCCTGCGGGGGACGGTAAGACCTGCCACTGGTTTTTTTACATTTATTGTTTATGGATTTTTTAAGGACATGACATGTACATTAGTGTTTTTACATTATGCATTGACAATTTTTTTTAGAAACAATAAAAACAAAGTAGAACCGTGGAGCTATTCTAATAATAACTAGATGGGGTATTATTAGGTTATAGCTGAAGGACCCATGTGCTCGGGGGAATTCTCGCAGTACTGAAGACTGAACCAGACTAAATTCATGTGGGCTGCACAGATATTATCTTAATAGAACTCAATGTAAACTAAAACGGCTCGACCTCAGCTGACCGAGAACCTGACAGAGAACCTACTCCTGTCACAAAGGTCGGATTTAGCGTGTTGCCTCGTCACCCTTAACTTTTTTTCTTCTTAAATCCTTCTGTTTTCTATAAATCTACACTTTAGTGCCACAAACTCTGCTCCATCGTCTCCTGCTCTGCTCTGATCGGCAGCTCTGATTGGTCAGGACACGCCGAGCCCCTTTGTGCACGTGTGTTTGGGGCAAAGCATCATGGGATCTTGTCCACTGCGTAGAACCGGGAGGACCAGAGAAATGTCCAAATATGGGCGTGTTCCGCTAATCTTTCGTTGCCCAGGGTGGCACATGCGGCACTGAGCACTAACCATTCATTTGAAAAGGCAGCCATCTTGGATCATCACCGGGGCTTGAGTAGAGCACAGATAACACACAAAAGTAGCATAAAAAAGGATTATCATCTTCACAAATTTAAGCCAATGTTTAAAAATCTCTTAAAAAATGTTCACTCTCCAGCCTTACACTCGCCGTCATTTTCTCCAATATAGAAATATATCTTCCATCACATGTAATCAATCTTCTTTCAATGGGCGCCTCACCTTCAGCCAATTTAGTGTAATCCCCTTTTATCCAGCTAACAGCACCATTCAAATTGATTTTAAGTCTCGCATAAAGTTTTCAGATTCCCAATTTTTAATACCATGTTTTGTCCTCTCCTGTTGAATGCAGGCACTTTTCAGTTTTTCAGATCATGTCTTTACCCAAAACAATCACGCAACCAACCAAGAGATAGTCATCGTATAGAGAATAAACACATCTAAAGTCTGAGTTTTAGTGAGTGATATATTAGCAGCTCTTCGAAACCACTGTCTGTTCCTGATGAGACCATATACTCTTGTTGGTCTGTAAATCTGCTTCGGGGATGTAGCTGAAGACCGTATAAGCATTCATAAATAACCTATGTTTGAATATGACTCAACTCTGCTGTTTAGTTGCGCTAGTGGCTTAAATAAGTTGGATGATTATCAATTCTTCCGACAAAGTCAGAAGTTTAATATGAAACGCCATCTGTCCTCTGTGCGTATATGTCTTGTACTTTAGTATGTTTTAGTCTCGGTTAAACTATAAGAATGATTATGGTACTGGCTATTTTTATTACAAGGAATTCTCTGGAGCAAATTTGTTTAATATGTTTTTATTAACCGTCTTTACTCTGATACTCGAGCCTGGTCAAACTGTCAATAACGCAATCAGTATTTTCTGTAGTGAATTCTCGTGAGCACAGTTCAGGTCAGATACAGCTGTTTCGAGAAGTTTCTAAAGGAAAAGCTCTCTGCCATTTTTTTTGTCTGAAGGTTTGGGGACCCCTGCCTCGTACAGTTTCACACACTTGAGAAAATAGTAATTGAATGAAGGGGTTTTTATTGTTTCTCACACACTTCTCACAGTCTGACCTGCGTTCTACACTTTTTTATTGATCAAATGAAGCAAGAAGACGCTCGTTTGCGTCACTGACAAATCTTCCAACGGACTCGGATCGAGACAAATGTCGGTTCTTCTCTTTCGTCTCTTTTTTTGAATACGTTTATTTTTGTGTCTCTCTCTCTCTCTCTCAGACTCTGTCCCGGACGCCGCAGGTTTGCCCTACACCAGCTTCGACCACTCCAAAGCCCACTTCTACAGATACGACGAGCAGGTCTCTCTCTGCTTAGAAAGACTCCAGTGAGTTTCTGCTCTCAGATAAACCGTTTTTATTAACCATTTCCGCTTTGATCATAAGGCAACAGTTCATAGATGGATACTTTATTGATCCCCCGTAGGAGAAATTCAGGTGTCCAGCAGCAGAAGACTCCAGTCACATCCAGTCAGTTATTGCACCATTGCCCAATCATTGAAACTTCAAAACAACTCCTATCATTTTTCCAGGGCTTTGACATATTTAATTATTTAATATTTATAAATATTTGATGTCTCTGAGCGTACATATGGTCACAATATGTACTCTGGGTATGCTAAAAATGCAGTGCAGTATATTATTTTCTTTCTCTATATGTTTAGATTTTATATATGCTGATTTTTTTGCATGACAATTTTTCAGTAATAAATTAACCAAATATTATTGTTTTCAATGTATGGTTCCAGGCTAAAAGCTTTTCTGTTATGTATGAAATTGTTTGCTAGCCCTGATTATTTCTTGTGTGTGTGCAGTTCATCACTCTCTGGAAAAGATAAAACGAAACTAACCCTTCAGGTGAGTTTAACACCAGCTGTTTCTGTGCGTGTGTGTGTGTGTGTGTGTGTGTGTGTGCGTGTGTGTGTGTGCGTGTGTGTGTGTCCATGGTGTAACCACAGGATCCAGGACAATTACATAACGTTTCACTCCTCTGGTGCAACGCTCTGACTGTCCAGCAGGGGGCAGTGCTGTCATTGATGAAAGCACAGGCTCCTGCTGTTGTGTGCATTTGCTGCATCAGTTAAATGTGTAAAAAGTATTCAACAATTTTACTCATCTTTTTTAAATTATTTCCACATGGTTAAAGGATTGTTGCATTTATTGCCACAGTTCTCATTGGGACGTCACGGTTCAGGGAAATGTGTCTTACTGCTAATTTACACATCACGCGTTACAGCACGTACACGTTATACGCGCAGCGGAATTTAGGATGGATTTCTAATTTTGTGCGCGCACCAACGCGTCTCCCATTGAAATCTCATGTAAAACTTTATTTTTCTAGCGGTCCTTGGCTTTAGATCACATCTGCACACTCACTGCACTTGTGTCTAAACATCAGCAGGAGGAGCAGCAGGTTTTACAGTGATTCTGGACATCGTTTTTTTTCTTTCATAAAGTCTGGCGTCTGGCCAAACCAGCGCACAGAGACCATGAAGACAAACACATGCATGTGATTTGTGTTGCTCTACATCAGTCCTCTGGCTCGTACTGTCCTCTACACTGCTCCATAGACTACACAGGGAGAGCATCAGAAGACACGGACCTGCGCACACGGCCTGTGTAGATACTCCAAAAAAATGTTACGCGCAGAGAGCGCGCAGAGAGCGCGCAGTAAACGCGTACGCGCTGTTTACGCCTACTGTGTAAATTCCCCGTCAGGCTCACAGCTGTCGGAATCAAACACACAAGACTCTACACATCTGTGCAATCAGTCTGTGCTCGTCTGTGCAATACCAACACAAGAAGATGCCACACCATTGCACAATCATCAGTACAAAAAACAACTTAGTAAAACATAAATAATTCCGTATTTACACAATGAGCACTGATCTTACTAAATCCTCTCTTTGATTTGATTTTTTTATTTTAGGGTCACAATTCAAAATGGATTCTCAATTTTTCTTTGTCTTACCGCACACTGTAGCCTACTGTAGCTAATAAATGTTTAAAGCGTTTTCCTCCACCGAAAAATCTGCTGTTTTAAATAACTCTCTAGCGTCAGTTATAACTTTAGCGCGAGCTGAGGTATGTGGTTCATTTGGTTTTATTGCAAATGAGGATGGCGTGGCTGGGTACGGTACATAGCAGAGCCCATCTTAGCTTAGCATATAGCATATCTTAGCATATCATTGCATATCTCACAAACTTTGTTAACAACTCACCGGGAACATAAAATATTTCCACACTGGTGATTTAAGAAAAGCAAGAGCCGCTTCAAGCTCAAGTCTCCTGTATCTGCACATGGTGTCATAAGCTGCAGGTTAGCTAACACCTCCCTGATGTATGTTATCCTGGGGGGAGGTGATCGTCAACCTTCTTTTCGATTTTGATGCAAGAGACTTCGATCAATTTTGATAAAAAAAATCTAAACCGTGACACCCCTAGATCTCACTGCTCTCTTTTCTGAAACATGAGGGCCACAAATCTGAACTCTTGCGGAAAGGTGAACCTGGAGAGATGCATAAATCAGGATCTTGTTTAACCAAAACTCCGAAGCTGCACATTCTGTCGGAGTTTCCGCTCGGGCCTGTAAAGACCTCTCTCCACGCTGGATGGAAGAGGAAACATAAAATGATTTTGGGGGTGTGTGTAATGATCCACGGGGGACCGAGAGCACGGAGGCTGTGGTCTGTGTAAAAGTGAAACAGGAGAGAAACGCGCCTCTCTGTTCTTCAGCGGTTTTTTTATGGGGCCTCGAACCAAACAGGTGCCACGCGGTGGAACAGAAGCGAGTCCGAGGATTTCTATATCATCAAAGTGTCGTTTAATGATGTAAAAGTCCTGCGTCAGAGATCATAGGTCTTCCTGAAAATGTGAGACAGGCTTCTTCTCTGGCAATGTTCAAATCCAGGTTTATGAGGGATTTTAGCTTAACTTCTGTGATTGTTTATAATAGCGAACTATCTGAATGACGTCACTAAGACACGCCCCCGCCGCCTGTCAACTCCCGCCCACATGTTTTGGACAAACACTGCCCAAATGAATCAAATACGACTTGTCACTTTAGACGAAAATGATATATACCAGGAGCAAAACTCCACCATCAAACCATGAGGGACCATAGTGTAGACCAATTAAAACGTTGGCTTGATGTCGTGGTCTGTAACTGGTAGATGGTTTGAGTTGATAAAAAGGGAATTGTGAGGATTATGCTAACATTATCTAGTCATTTAAATTCAATGCTAGCGCCTTCTTTGTTTATTTTGCTGTGATTAACTTCCATTTATCAAGTGTTTGTTTTTGTACTGTCCACTTTGTAATTAGTTTGATCATTAGTTAGCTACTATCAGCTGATATTATAATAGATCCATGGGTCACAACGGGCTACGCCACTACTGTCTCTGAGAAACTATCAGAGCCACACTCAATAAACACAAATGACAATCAATCAACATATTTAAATGTTAATGGGAGAATATATTATACATACAGTCGTAACACACGTGCACGGAGGTTTTCAGAAGTATTTGTTACGGTTTTCATGACAAAAATACTTTTTAATGCGACTAAAGCGATCGCTTTTTTGAAGTAGGTGAACCAGCCTCACTGTTACTCGCCGGCCACGGGAAAACCTTTTGGGAACTATTTTCTTTGCACTTATTAAATAAAACTTTCGGCATGAATAAAAGTGACTGACGTTTATTTTGTGTGTTAAGTTCGTACAAAGCCGTATAATAAGCGGACCCCGACGCACTTCGTCTGTACTTATTTTCTGATAGTCACAAAGTTGAAAAAATCCTTCTCCTCTTTCTTCAGGTGTGAGAATTGTATACATTCTGGATTAGGACAAACAATACTAATATGGATTGATGGGGGTAAATGTTTGTGCTAAATGTTTGTGCTAACTACATTGAGAAGAGCTCAGACGGACCTGATACAGCGGTCCAGATCCATCTCTCATCTCATCTCATCTACAATCGCTCCACAGTTGGTCCAGCGAAGTGTTTTTAAAAAACATGTGTCCTTTTTAACATTTTCATGAGAGAAATTCTGCCGACCACAAGCACCCACCTCTTGCACTTGGTCTGGTCCTGGTCTGATCTGGTCCTGGTCTAGTTCGATGGTGTGGTTTAACAAATGGGTTGAATGTTACTGCTTTCATATAGTCCTTTTCAGAGTATCTGAAATCGCTCCCACAAGCACCATAACTGCAGTGTTTTGTTGTCACCACGATTCAATGATTTAGCCCAAATAAATACACACGCTTATGTGGAGAACACAGTAGTACTCAACGGAGTCGGACAGAGTTTGTCCCACTCTGCATGCGCAGTCATCTGAGCTATTTTTAGCACATTTCGGAAACCGGACAGTGCCCTATTTTGATGCCTTGTGTGATTGTGTCTTGTTTTGTTCAGCACGTGCCTTGTGTATTAACTGACCCATACTAATAAACCTTATAACTTATAATACCTTTCCCTTGCCATAAATCCATGTTCATTGTGTCTGCAGCAAAAGTTTGTGCGGTGTTCGGTTCGAGCAGAGGTGCGGCACTTACGGAAAGTCCTCTGCCATCGGCTCAATGTAGAGAAACACCAGGTGAGAGGAACAGGCATCACATGGTCCATACTAGCCTGGCCTTATCCATCCGTACACTCCACTCAATAATCATTTCCTGCATGTAACGTCTGGGTCTGGTCCCAGTGTTTGCGATTACAATCTGTAGAATTCCATCCGACCAATCAGCGAGCGCGGGAGTGTTGTAGTTAGTCGTGGGTGACTTCCAGAGTTTGCGCCGAACGTGCAGGTTGTAGTTTGGTAATGGCGAAGAATGCGATAGTAAAGTAATATGATGTGGTTCTATCAAGAAATTGAAGCCGGAGCAATAGGAATGTTTTGCAAATGTAATCGCTGGCAAAGATTGTGGCACTACTCCCCACGGGCTCCGTTAGCAGCAACGGAGATGGCTAGGCTAAATGCTAACAACACACTCAGGCTCATTACATACGTGACGGTAAACTCAGATCCAATCGTTTCAATCTGCAAAAGGAGTTAACCCCTCCTATCTGTAAACAGCTCAATGGAGCACCTCCAGACCATAGTACGAAATATAATTTGTACTATGGTGTGGTACGACTAGGCTAGGTCCATCCATCTCACGGGTTCTTTTCTCTCCAACAGTTCAGGTCTATCATTAGTGTCGGTTTAGTTCGATTCATTTTCAACACATAAGATAAGATATAAAATACAATAAAAGTGCAGAATAAAAGACATAAATACATACATATTAAGTTATCTTTTATTTCAGAAATGTAAGAAGTTCTACCTTTTTTCAACTGTAATATACCACCAGAGAAGAGTAAGTGCTGGTTACCGTAGCAACAAGTTATATTCACCAGTTTTAGTGCTGATTAAATGTGCGTCATTGTTAAATACTGAAACACACTGAGCTCACAGTGCATGTTAGTGACGGGAAAATCCAATCTGTTCAGTGTCGCGATATTTTCTATTTGATTTAGATAATTGTCGGTTTCAGTTTTGTGTTTTCTGAGTTCACTCTGGGGGTTCACATTAGCGTGTTACATCCACAAGGGGGCGCTTGTTCAGTTCAATAGCCGCCCCTTTCAAGTAGCTCCCCAAAGGATTTAGAATTTAACACAGGATCCTGAATGAATAAATGTTGAGTCTATTATGGGTATAAATATTGGTTTATACAGTGTTATGGTATATTTACATGTGTTCTCCATGTGTGTCTTCATTATTGCATACATTTTCATTACAACTGCTAGAATGGAGTAGCTCTCTGCCTCTTCTGTTGTATAAAAGTAACTATCTAATTGAAAAAAGTGTGGAGACCCCTGGTTCAAATGATCCCGTTTTTGCTCTGCCCTCCTCAGTGTTTGCTTCAGTTCATGTGCAGACCATAATAAATGTCACAAGAGTCTGATTTTCCTCCACGTTTGTAACTTCTTTGAATAAACTGAAAGACATGAATCATAATATATCACAGAGTCCAATCACAAAACTGTCTGTATCACAATATGTTAAGAATTGTGGCCCAAATATCATACTACTACATACTTTTTGCCAGTTCCCGCTCCTATTGGACATGTGTTATGCATAGCTTGAACACAAGATAGACTTTTTAAAATGATTTTGAAATGATAGATTGATATATTTCCCCCACAGACTTCATCACGACTCTTATACTGTATGACGAGTCCCTCACATCTGTCTCATGTCTCTGCTCCTCCAGGTCCAGATGCTGTTTAATAATGAGATTCTACCTGATCACATGACCATGAAGCGGCTGTGGCTCTCGCACTGGTTCGGAAAGGTACTCCACACGCCGCTCTGTCGCTATAGCAACAGACGCGAGTGCTTATTACTTTACAAGAACAACGTCCATTACGTCAGATTGTTGTGTTTTTTTGTTTGCTACATTTTATTGGCAACGTCGACCTCTGAAGCTAAGCAGGGCAGGGCCTGGTTAGTCCTGTGATGGGTGGGAGGGGTTGATGGCACAGACTGGTTGCCTCGCTTCTGTCAGTGTGCCCCAGGGCAGCTGTGGCTACAGTAGTAGTTTATCACCAAATGTGTGTGAAGTGAAATAATAATGACATGTGTCCTGAAAAGCTCTGTGTGAAACCAATGCATTATTATAATTATTATTCCTAAATGAATTCTCTCCGTCATGTCTTTTCTTTACCAAACAATTTTTCACTTTTAATAGAACTGACTTGTGATTTGTTTGTATTTACAACAAAGCAATAATTTGCCATTTTCGGGTGATGTGTTACTTCTGCACTTAGAACTTCCTGAAGCAGCATTGCCCCTTTAACCCTCCTGTGTGTGTTGTGTTGCAGGCCGGGCCGTTAGTCCTGCAGTATTCCATCAAAGACAAACGCAGCAGATAAGACCTGCCTCCACCGTGTACAGCTGTTTATATTTTGTACAATAATATTCTATTTTAATAGTGTTTGTGTACATATACTTATTTTCATTGTTTTGTATTTTTGAAAATAAATTTGAAAATATGTGACACATGTGTGGATGTCCATAAGTATCTCACTTTGACTCAGTTATGTACCCCAGCTTTAATATTGTCTATCACCAGAGCAGTTAATTTACGGCCTTTAGTTTTGTGTCATTACCTCTTGCACATTTTTTATTCTTCATACGTTTGTGACTGTTTCTGGCTCTTCAAATGTAGTTTATTTAATTAAAAAATTACATAAAAATAATATTTAACTTTGAAATGAGAGTAATGCTACTGTTACCTTCCAGAGTCTAGCCAGTGCTAGTTACCATAGCAACATATTGTTTGCCTGCTAACAGTTACCGTTAGCATTAGATTTTCAACAAACTGCTTTGTGCTGTTTATATTCGCCAGTGTCAGCATTTAATAAATTTAGGTTTTTAGGTTAAATATATCCATTACTTACTTTTGATACATCTGTCAACAAACTAAACATTTTTGGGAAATTTCTCAAGAATTCATTTGGTTTGGATGAGAACAGTCAAAATGACGGCTCTGCTCTGGGTGTTCTAGTATCATAATTTTAGGAGTCAGAGTGTGATTAAAATCCCTGTATCTGCTCTTTGACAGTTTGGTTCCACACTTTACATCCATGTTTTCTTTGCCTTTTGTCTTAAACATCAGATCAAACAGAAAAGTGAAAAAGAGGGCCGCCCCCACTCAGCCAATCAGCTCTGAGCCCAAACAGACAAATAGTGACTCATAGGGCTCCTCTTACAAATATGCACAAGATAACATTTGTAGTAAGATGAAGACGGAAAAATACTAGAATTATTAAGAGATCAAATATAGACATTTATAATTAATCCATTTACACTGAACCTGACCTAAAGCAAAACCCAAACCCCAGTCAACTAAACCTAACTTTAACTGTCATATTAGTTGCCATGTTGTGAGAGCATAATCCTCCATTTCAGTCACTCCTGCTGCTCTTTTCAGTAAAACTCATGGATCTATAATAAAAACGTAATACTTCACACAGAGCTGGTGTCATGACCGCGGGTGGAGTCGCCAGCAGAGGGCGCCCTTGCTCTGTGGAAGACCCCTAGAACGTGAAATGGAAGACGTTCCATTGTTCCCAGAGTCCAGAGAGAGAAGAATACACACTGTCAGGAGAGACACACAACTGACATACACCACAGAGACACACAATAGAGACACACGACTGAGCCTGACCCTGATCACCTCCTGTTGTCTCCCCTTTTGGTAATTTCCTGTCGTTTGGTGTATTCTAATGTTTACAGACTATGATTCTGTGTGAGTACATTGAATATACTGTACCATTATTTTGTGTTTTGCTGTAATAATACATATATTAGATAGATAAATTAAATAAATAGAAATGAATACATAAATTTGATCAATAGAATAACTTATTAGCTGATTAACTTATTAGCTGATTAAGAAAATACAATAAATAAATCAAAAAATGAATAAATAAGTAAAAATAAACAAACAAATTCATAGAAAAATAAATAAATAATAAAATAAACACACAAATAACTAAATAATCCCGTGGAACACACAGACAACAGGACATATTTTGTTCTGTGCTGGAAAGAGAGACTGTAAAAATCTAAAATACAATGTGTGTTTTTCAACAGATCAAACCGGTTTAATCCATAGAAATATAAATGTTTAATTTCTCTTCCGTTTATGTGAATCGTGTTTGTGTTTGTCCTCAGCATCAGTCTCTGCAGGATCCTGAAGCAAAAGACACATCATGAACATTAATAAAATGGGATCATACTAATATAATGTGGGATTGTATTTGTAATGTATCTGTCGCAATAAATGTAGGTCACGTGTTTCCAAGTGAAAAATACACCAGGGTTTGAAGTAAACTCTCAGTAAACCATCAAATAATAATAACAATAATAATAATAACAGTAACAATAATAATAATAATAGTAACAATAATAATATAAACAGTCATACATAATTTTAATAACATTTAACCGCTCCAATGACGAGTGTTTAATCCTGATGATCCGTTGTTCCTTCGGCTGTCAGACTGTACAACAAACCTGCAGGAGATGTCTGTCTGTCTGTCTGTCTGTCTGTCTATCTATCTATCTATCTATCTATCTATCTATGTATCTATCTATCTATCTATCTATCTATCTATCTATCTATCTATCTATCTGAACTATACATTTGATACTTTCTTTTTGTTCGTATTCACCCCTCGCTGTGTGAAGGAGAGGTTCCGCAGGTCCGTCCTTCCTGCTGCTGTCAGACTGTACAATGAGAACTGCTGAGCCTGGCCATGTCATTCATTTGTAAAGAAGTAAATACTGTAATTATGAGCAATACTGCAATATCTGAATGTCACTGAACGTCACTGAATGCCACTTTCTTTATCATTACCCCGCTATGTGCTATGAATTAGCACTTAGCACTTAGCACTGTAGCCTGTTTGAAAGGTTGATATTGAAGCATTTACAACTAAGAAACACAGCAGCTGCTTATTTTGTATATTATCAAAATCTAAATCCTAGTTTTCAAATCACTTCTATCACTATTTGCATGTCATTATTCTATACTCGCTTCTTCATTATCTTAATAAATGTGTTGATTTTATCTCTGTGCAGCACTTTGGAAACTTGTTTTATAAAATGTGCTATATAAATAAAGTGGATTGGATTGGATTTGATCTTAAAATTAGAGATTTTAGACTTAGGCTTAGGCTTAAAATCCTCCTCGGACACGTTTCTGTCGGATCCGTTCTTTCCAAGGAGTCAAATATCTCGATCTGTGTTCTGTTTTTTGTTTTCTGAAAGGAGGACGGCAGCTTTAGTGGTCGGATCTGTTCTTTTACGAGACTCTTTCTGTCGAGACAAATATTAAGTCTTTATATGAGAAGAAATAACCTAAGCTCAGCTGTGAGTGCTCTCAATAATATTTGTGTTTAGAGCAGAATAACTTCCTGGTTGCAGCTGATGTCCGGGTTTGAACACGTTTAAACCATAAGTCTCTAACCCATATTTGTTTACTTCCATGTTTGGCCTCTTCTACAGTCTCTCTCTCTCTCTCTCTCTCTCAGTCTCACCCTCTCTCAGTTTCTCTCAGTCCATCTCAGTCTCTCTTGGCCTCACACGGTTTCTCTCAGTCTCTCTCTTTCTCCCCCTCTCTCTCTCTCTCCATCGCTCTCTCTCCCCCTCTCTCAGTCTCTCTCTCCCTCCCTCTGCCTCTCTCTCTTTCTCTCCCTTCCTCCCTCTCTCTCCCCCCTCTCCCTCCCTCCCCTTCCCTCCCTCTGTCTCTCCCTCTCTCCCCCTCCCCCCCTCTCTCTCTGCCTCTCTCCCTCTTCTGTCTCTCTCTCCCTCTCTCTCTCTCTCCCTCTCTCTCTCTATCTCCCTCTCTCCCCCCCCCCCCCCCCCCCCCCTCTCTCTCTCTCTCTCTCTCTCTCTCTCTCTCCCTCCTCTCTCTCCCCTCTCCTCTCCCCCCCCCTCTCCCTCTCTCTGCCCAGGACACTGTGGGCAGATGGAGAAGGCCATATTTCTCCTGTGGCTTGTGTCCGGCTCTGGACTAAAGTGGCACAATAAAAAGACTGCTTGACTTTTCAACCCTCTCATTCTGCTCCATTACTTCTGTTGTTTCTCAATCTGCCCCCCCCCCCCGTATTTTCCCCTACCCCCCGAATCCCCCTCCACTCCCCCCACTGCTGCCCCCCTCACTCCTCCACACTCTCTCTTTCAAAGTACATGTACACGAGTATCTGTCATTCCACTGTGTTCTATATATTTTTATATTTAGTTCTTTGATTTGATTCACAATAATAATATTTGTATGTAATGATGCAGGTTTGTTTTTCCGCTGGAAAATCTTTTGATTTTGAGTTAGAAAAAAAGACAATATATTTATGACTTGGAATGAGAAAAATCCTGCTTTACGACGCTCAACATCATTATCAACATCATCTCTGAATTTTAGTGAGTTTTGTAATTTTTGTGTAATTTAAAAAATAAAAAATAACCTTAAACTGTGAGTGGTATATTTTCCAGAGTCAACATCATCCAATCCTGCATTTTGTTATACAGCTAATTTTATATTAGTGCAGATTTCTATAATTACACCTGAATATTAAAAAAGTCATGGGTTAAGAAAGTTGAATGTGATTGGCTGATGGAAGTTGGCGTTTGCGTCATCCAAAGTATCAAGTTACTAATTTATTACCACATATTTGTTGATTGATTGAAGGTGTCAGAACGGAAGCTTAAATATATGTCTAAAACAACATGAATTAATATCAAAACTACAAAAAGGAGGTCTTGAACACAGTGAATGGACGGATGGGTTTGAAATGACCCTTACATTATTCTCATTTTCTATATATTATTATAATTTTTTTTTTTATTGGTATTTATTTCAGCTATTCCAATGGTCTTGTATCAACATAAATGTATTTTAAAAAATAACAGAACAAGGTATTTTTTTCCGACTTACAGATGAGGTTAAATACTTCCGATAATATCATTATTTAAGGTATACAAATGGGAGAAACATGGATCAAAGCCTCTCTCTCTCTCTCTCACACACACACACACACACACACAAACACACACTTTAACACACACACACACACACACTGCGCCCAAATGGCTTCTGCGGGTGCGACACTTTCTCTGCGGCAGATGCGGTGCCATTATTGCCCCCGCGTTGCTCCAAGCTGTTTTTCTTCTTAACACTGCAGGCCATGGGCGGGCACTGGGCTAATCAATCACTCTCCACTATAGTTGTGTTTAAGAGGAGGAAAAAAACATATGGCGCTGGGTCTGATGCAAGCTTTTCTCAATCCGGGCCCGAGACAAGACGCATTGAAAAGAGAGGCAGGAAGAGGCCGGGGCCGTCGAAAGCCGCTAATTGAAGTCACACCAAAAGCAGAGGTCACGCGTTCACCTCCCACTACACTGATCACTGGCCCCTTCTCTCTGTCACATGAATACAACAGCCTGGTTAAGTTAGAGCGGGCCATTCTCAGGTTACAACGTAAATACTTGTGCGTCTTTTGGCACGGTTGTTCTGTGCGTCTTTTGGCACCATTGTTCCTCTCCCTATGACGGACCTTTGTATTCCCCCCACCACGATCTGTTGCTTTAACACTATAGGACTGCCACTGCAGTTATTTTGACGGCTCCCATTCAAACAAATTGCACAATTTTAGTTTTTTTTTTTTACAAGTTTGATTGAAAGTCATTTAAACGATATAGCATTGAAAAATAAAATAAAAACAAACAAATCAAGCGCGTAAAAGCGTAAAAACTCTCACTTCTCAGCAAGAAGGTCCTGCAGGTTCGAATTCCGGTCGGAACAGGGCCTTTCTGAGTGGAGTTTGCATGTTCTCCCAGTGTCTGTGCAGGTTTCCTCCAGGTATTCCGGTTTCCCCTACCACTAAAAACATGCCCAAAAACTAACAATTGTAAACTGCTTTGTGACTGTGCATGTGAAAGGTTCTATTTAAATAAATATTACTACTACTTACTTACACAACGTTATGAAGACCAAGGATGTACATAAGTATGAATTACTTATAGTTACGCTTCTAAAACTATAAGCCATCAATTGCTTTCTCTGGGATTTCTGGTGTTAACTCATTGACTGCCAGCCGTTTTTTGATTGATTTAACTGATTCTAAAGACCCACAGAATATTATTTCTTAAGTCTATGCGAAATATGAAACCAGATTCTGAAAGACTGGATTTCCCACTTTCATCAGCAAAAATAAGTTGGTTTCTAGCTATTTTTGTTGTCCTGTCATCCCCAGTCGAAAAGAGGGTCTCAGACAAATATCTCAATGGCAGTCAATGATTAACCACCTTTATAAAAATATATATTCTGCGCGCAAAAGTCACGTCACGGCGTCGAATTGAATTAAGCAGCTTGACCCAGTGCGTCTTCAAATATGATAGAAGCTTTATTTACATAGATGCTGATTAAATAGAATGTTACAATAAAATTATTATAGGGAGCTATGTACAAAACGTATGCAGGTGTAAAAGGGTCTCTGCGCGTGCCACTTTGCACTAAAAACAGCGGTGCGTCTTACGGAAGCCTTCAGAAAGACGCAAATCCTTTTTTTTGTTTTTTGTTTTCTCTTTTTGTTTCGTTCAAGAGACCAAATGTCAGAGTGTGTCTCCAGTCCAAACTCGGCAGGTTAGGTTACTCCAAAATGTGAGGCCTACTCGAGTCCAAAGAATAAATTAAAATCAATGAAAAATATCCAGCTGTCTATATTCTCCACTGCGATCCGTGCAAAAGTTTTGGGAAAGAAAATGTCCCCTTTCGTTTATATATAGTTTGTTATTGTCTGAGACCGAGGCAGCGCACGCAGATTCATCAGTCATCCACCTCTATCTCCTCATCGTCCTCTGAGAACTCGTCCGTGGTGTGGTCTCTGGAGGAGGAGGGCGAGTGCGGGAAGCCTCCGTGTCCCTGCGGTGACGTGCAGGGGGACACACTGGGGGAGCCCGCGCCCTGAGCCCGCTCCTCCCGCTCCTCCCGCTCCCTCTCCTGCTCCCGCTCCTGCTCCTCCAGGCTCTCCATGGTCACCAGCTTCTGCAGACTCTGCGGCGTCAGCTTCTTCAGCGACTCCACGTCCGCCTTCATCTCCTCCAGGTCCCGCTTGAGCTTGGCGCGTCTGTTCTGGAACCATGTGATGACCTGCGCGTTGGAGAGGCCCAGCTGCTGCGCGATCTGGTCCCTGTCCGCGGGGGAGAGGTACTTCTGGTACAGGAAGCGCTTCTCCAGCTCGTAGATCTGATGGTTGGTGAAGGCCGTCCGCGACTTTCTCCTCTTTTTGGAGCTCTGCCTCTGGCCGAAGGAGTTGACGTGTTCGCGGCCTGCAGGGAAGAGACGCAGAGGGAGGGTCAAAAACTATATGTGAATAAGTATTTATTTATGTATTTGTATATCTGTATATTTATATATTTATTTGTATGGATGGATGTGTTTCTATCTATCTCTAAGTACAGCCTAAAATGTATCTACTATTACTATTACTACACAGTGTATTATAGATATTATAGATAGATATTATAAGTGTGTGTCTATGACTTACTGTGATTATTTATGAATGATTATGTATATATTTTTTTTCAGCGCTTTGAGTTTCCTTGTGTATGAATCGTGCAATACAAATAAACTTGCCTTGCCTTCTCTGCCATGTCTCCCTGTATCCACTATTCCATCTAATTGACTTTGTATTGACTGTTTATTATGCTGACTGTGCGGCGCTTTGTAAACAGTGTTTGTGAAAAGTGCTCAGCAGAACGAATTCAATTGTGTTATTGTTATTATTATTATTATTGTTATCATTATTATTTAGTGCATTTCACAGATATGTATTCGTTCCTCACTGTGGGACAAATACAGGTTTATGATAATGTGTTCTTTCTTACTGTGTATGAATTGTGTTATATTCAATTCAACTCATTTTTGTGTTGCCATAAATCACAACAGTTGTAATCTCGGAGGACTTCACAAAGCCGTGAATATAAATCAAATCTATATAAATAAACTTGCTTTGCCTTTCTTCATCCATGGGTATTTTAGTCCATGTTCCTAATCTTTTTTCTATATATAAATCTGACTGACAGCCCGTTTATTTACTATTTACAGTTTTAATTAACTTCAATTAATTCATAATGAGAGGCCCAACGTCTTCTCAAAACAAAAGGGTTATTTATACCTGTGTCCTACAATAATAATAATAATAATAATAATAATAATAATAATAATAATAATAATAACAACAGCAGGCAATTGGAATAGACACACACACAACCATAACAAGCATATAATATGTATTTATTATTATTGTTAATATTATTATTTTTTCATGTACACGTGCATAATAAACTGAAATAGGCCTCTTTTCCCACTTGTGTTTTAAACTACAAGCTACGATTTGTCATCAATCAATAAAACATGATGAAAAAATCCAACGAGACCCAAACCATAACAGTTCAAATAAACTTCATTTTGACAGCTGTGTTTGTCTCTCCTTCTGGATAATAGCAGTTTATGAGATTGTGCTGATGACCCCCGCGATAAACTCACACTTATCTCCATTAACCTGCATGAGCTGACAGCGTGTAACATCACGAAACCAACAAAAATGGTATCATTTTGGCGAGAAAAAAAAACATCATTTGAAAACTTTGTGGTAATTGAGGCTATTTACGCAGTTACTTTCTTTCAGTTCCATGATGTGTATGTGTCTATCACACTCTCCCATGCATCGACTCTTACAACAGTCTGACAGCATTAGGAGTGAATTATAGTATTTTACCATCGCTTTTAACGGCGCGTTAAAGAGGCATTTCCCCGTAAATAGTATCATTACGCACGCTGTTTACAAGCGTCCAAAGCCAAAGCAAACTCTGCAGATCCACGCTGCTCTGACGCACGCACCACGCACTTTTACGCATTACTTTATGAATAAAATAAAATTTGTATATCTGTGCATATGTGTGTGTGTGTGTGTGTGTGTGTGTACCTTCTGCTGCCTGGATCACGCTGACTTCCAGGCCTTTGAACGTCTTGCTCGCCAGCTCCTCCAGGGCGCATAGCGGGGAGGACGGCGTGCTGATCCCGTTCCGAGGTGCGTTCGAAGCGGCCACTTTCTCCTGCAGGACGCGCGGTGGCCTGACGCTTGCGTGCACGGACTTCTTGACCGAGGGCTTGTTGAGAATGTCCTCTATGCTGAAGGGCGTGAGCGGCTTGTTGGAGTTGGCAGGCGGGGGCAGCTGGTCCAAAGGCGCCCTCGCTCCTCGCCTCTCCTCGCCGCTGCATTGCAACACAGACCCTGCCTTCATGTCTTTGCTGGAGGTCATCGCAGTCCAACACGCAAGACGCAAACTTCACGCAAACCCAGCACCACGCACAGACGGGTTTAAAGCAGTGGGACCATGCTCTGGACTGCTGCTGTAATATCCTGTCAGTGTCTCTCGCGTAGCTCCATGGAAGAAGACAGCGAGACTCGGTTCGTCCCACTGCGGGAAAAAAGTGCGTCCTGAGCAGCGAGGAGGACCCGAACCGCCGCTAACGAGTTCCTGTTGATTGGGCGAAGTTCAATTAGAGAAACACTAGACTAGTTGCTGACCCGCTGCTGCGTCTTAAAGGGCCGGAGTCTAGGAACTAATTGGACGTGAGGGAGAGGAGGAGTCTCACGTCCGCCTCCGCGTGTGTGTGTGTGTCTCTGTGAGTGTGTGCGTGCGTATGCTTGTGTGAGTGTTTGTGTGTGCATATGTGTGTGTGCCTCTGTGCGTGTGTGTTTGTGTTTGTGCGCGCGTATATGTGTGTGTCTCAATGATTGTGTGTGTGTCTCTATGAGTTTGTGCGCATGTATTTGTGTGTAAGTGTGTGTGTCTGAGTGTGTGTGTGCTTATGTGAGTTAGTGCGCATGTGTGTGCCTCTGTGAGTGTGTGTGTGCCTCTGTGTGTGTGTGTGTGTGTGTACGCGTGTGTGTGCTGTTAAACACGCCACAGCCACGAGCGACGAGTCTGACTGAGGAGAAACTTCAGGTCCAGTCTGCAGTCGCGGTAATGTGTGTATTTACGCAGCGCGCGAGGGACGGTGGCCCCAGAGCACACGCCTGAAATAACACTCAAACGATGTGTTCCACGCGTGCGCCTTATTACGGCAGAGAGATTTATATTTTTATTATTTTCCTCTGGCTCGTGCGTGTACGTCACATCGCTGTTATTGAAACCATACACATCACTTCCAATTGTTTTAACAGAAATAAGACCGAGGATTTTTTGAAATCGACAAACCTTTCCAAAACCGGACGAGGCCTTTAATATATTTCGTTTCTCTAGATTATTTCGTTTTTACTTTAAAAAAAAATATGTTCTGCTCATCTTCAATCTATACGTCTATGTGGAATTGTTAGTTGTTGCTTCCTATGCCATATTATAATTATGACATTTCTAATTGATTTTTATGGATCTCATTCGTCGCTGGCAAAAAAAAATAGCAATAAAAGAAAATTAAACAGCTCGATAAAAAGAGAAAAACCTCATAATTTTTTTTAGCACTCTTTCAGCAGATCCACGAGCAGCAGCAGCAGAAGCAGCAGCAGAAGCAGCAGCAGGAGAAGCTCACATTATGCAGGTATGGGGAAAAACACCTCAATTTCAAACTCAATATTAATTAGTTTTGCCGATATTGTGTTTGCTACAGAACAGGCCGTGACGTGCATGCTTTTACATCAATTAACGCTTATTCAGCACAACTCGTGAACACAGTGATTCAAAGGGCTTTTTAGGAGCAATATAAAAACACAGACCAAAATGATCATAAAAGCAAAACAAAAAAAAGGCAACGAAATATCCAATCATTTCAAATTAAAACAGCAGCATTGAAATATTGGGCTTAAAACACATATTAAAATGTGGTTTTAAAAGAGAGATTAAAGAGATAAATATTCTAAAGTAGATTCAGTTGTAGCGAGACACGTTTGTTTTTTTTAACCTACAGTTTTGAACACGGTCAGAGCAGAGGCTTGTCTCACATCTTCGGGAAGACAGTTCCATAGATTTTAGCTGAAATCTGAAACGCTGCCTCCACGTGACTCGCTCTGACTCTGGGCACCAGCCTCATTCATTTTCAACCATTTATTATTATTTATTTTTTTCCAAATTAGAACGTAAAGTATTAGTGTTAGTTCGTTGCCCAAAATACATTACACTGATACCCGTGCACCTCTCACCGCGCGCACGTCAGCAAAGACACGTTCATTTCACGCATATAATACGTTACGTCCACTAACAATATCACAATGAAACAACACGACCAGTTTGTTAAAAAAAAAAAAAAAAAAAATCAGAAAAACTGTTCCTATCTCATGTTGTGTTATTCCCGATCATGTCCCACGTGCGCGCGCCTCCTTATACCCCATACATCAGCGCCTCCAATAAGCTTCTATGGGTCGACCTTTCTCTCTTACCTTCTCTCTCATGCCTTCATTTAAACGTTAATTAGAAGCAGAGCAGCTGACACCATCCATCAGCTCACCAGACGGCTTTTAATTGGATGGTACGCCTCGCAGTTGGCTCCTATCAGGGCCCGCTCCCCTTCAAAGGAGAAGGGCCCGGACCGAGGAAAAGGTTTGTTTTTCAGCAGCATTTAGAATCAATTAAGGGCGTTTACACACGGGGTGAGTGAAAGTGTGTGTGTGTGAGAGAGAGGCAGACTCTGAAGGTCAAACATTTATCAGGATATTAACGCAGCAGAACAGAAACAGAGAGAGAGAGAGAGAGAGAGCGGCGTGGAGCTCTTTGGACACGTTTTTTTGACTGCACTGGGGCTATGTTCATCCACTCGACATCATTGGAAAGAATAATGTCAGAATGTGCAATATCTGTGTGTCCCAGAACATGTACAGATGTAAACATACGACTATATATTTATTTTGGAATAAGTATTAGGTTAAGATAAGATATTCTTGATTTATCTCACAAAGGAGAAATTTACCTGCAATTTATCCTATAGCTTCGTTATTATGCTAAAGTTAGAGATGTTATACCTGCTGATGCAACACTGACATTTCACTATGGGACAAATAAAAAATCTTTTCTTCATATTTTTTATAGCAAAAAAAACTCATAAAAACATTTTTTTAGGCCTGTTTTTTTGTCTTGTCATTTGTGTGTTTCCCTCCAAAGTGGGTGTAAGTCTGTTCAGTTACATACATTTGAATTGAATATGATAATTTTCCATTTTCTTAATGACATTTATTATTTTAAACATAATAATGACAATGCAAAAATAATCAGACTAAATGTACAACAACAAAAGGAAAGCGGCCCATAGGTTAAGATAAACCTTTATTAGTCTCACAGTGGAGAAATTTAAGATAAAATAAAATAAAATAAAATAAGAAAATCTGGGCTATAATTGCACTTGGTTCGGAGTATTTACAGATGTCTATATTATACATTAGCAGCGGAGAATATGAGAATATGAGCAGAATAAACATCAGAAATAATATCAACAGGTAAAGTGACTTGAATGGGAGAATTATCAGATGGATATGAATAATACAGTAAGATATCAACAGGTAAAGTGACTGATGAAAGGCAGAAATATCAGATATGAAATAATACAGTAGTACTGATAACAGTAAATATCAGATATGTAGTACTGTAGTAGTACTGATAACAGGTAAAGTGACTAGTGACAAAGTTACTAGTGAATTATCAGAAACACTTGTGCAGACTCAGCAGTTCCTGTTACACATTCTCGTTGTACAGTCTGACAGCAGCAGGAAGGAAAGACCTGCGAAACAGGTGATACATATTATTGATTATTATTTATCATTTATCAACAACATTTAAGGACATTTATTGACATTGGTCTCTGCCCCATGGACCAATGTCTCTATGTGTTTTTTTATCATTTCATTGCCTGTGTTTGGACTGATTTTCTGATCTGTGTTGGCGAATTAACAGCTTTGTAAAATACTGTTGTGATTCAGAACGATAAAATAATAATAATAATAATAAATACATTGAATTGAATTTTCTTTCAACATCACCAACAAAAGGAAGATGATTATTGGTGTTTTCATACAGAGTCCATTTTGTTTTACTAATCTACTCATTTGTGTCAGTAATTTATGGAAAAGCAGCGCGCGGCTCTCAGCGTGTTCCCCAAAACAGCTGCGGGGCTGAACGTGTGTGTGTGCGTGTGTGCGTGTGTGTGCTTGAGGCTGAATCTGCGTGACGTACTGGCGCGCGTGCTCTTGCGTGGCTGACTCTGCGTGACGTAAAGGCGCGTGCTCTTGCGTGGCTGAATCTGAGTGACGTACAGGCGCGTGCTCGTGCTGTGCCTGTCACGTGACCTCTGGATTAAACAGGCTGCAGTGACTTTATCATCAGGAACAAAACGACCAAATGTGAGCGTTTAAAGAAAATAAGAATAGATTCATCTTTGTCTGTCCCTGAAATGTCATCAAAAACAAGACTCATCAAACATATAGATAGAGATAGATGCATGGGTTTCCATAGCAGCATTATTTAAGATCATTTATGATTCAAAAATACAACTCTGAAGAATCTCTGCACAACAAATATTATTACTATTTGTATTTATTTATTTTGGTTTTATAAAAGTTTCCTATGCAGGCACGGGATCCATAAATAACAAGAGTAATGAAAACAACGTTATAAAAGACAGCTTTTTTCGTGACGTATTTACAAATGTTTCTATTCTTTAGCAGCTGAGAATTTGACCAGAATAGAGAATGAATGAACGAAGAATAAACTATAGTAATAAGGCAGCAGAGGAAGTGACTATGGAGGATTCTCAGAGTTATCAGATAAATGACATGTAAAGGCCTGGAAATCTGAGAGTCATCAATGACTTGAGCCAAACATGGTGGACAGAATAGCTCTGTGTCTCTGTTTCGCTATGTCTCTGTGTCTCAGTGTCTCTGCGTCTCTGTGTCTGTGTCTCTCTGTCTCTCTGTGTCTGTCTCTGTGTCTCTGTGTCTGTGTCTGTGTCTCTCTGTGTCTATGTCTCTCTGTGTCTCTGTATCTCTGTGTCTGTCTCTGTGTCTGTCTGTGTGTCTGTCTCTGTGTCTCTGTCTCTGTGTCTCTGTGTCTATGTCTCTCTGTGTCTATGTCTCTCTGTGTCTCTGTATCTCTGTGTCTGTCTCTGTGTCTGTCTGTGTCTCTGTGTCTGTCTCTGTGTCTGTCTCTGTGTCTGTCTGTGTCTCTGTGTCTATGTTTCTCTATAGAGAAACATAGACACAGTCTGGTCTAACAGTATGTCTCTGTGTCTCTGTGTCTGTGTCTATGTTTCTCTATGTCTCTATGTCTCTGTGTTGTGTCTCTCTGTGTCTCTGTGTCTTTGTATCTCCGTGTCTCTGTGTCTGTCTCTGTGTCTGTGTCTCTCTGTGTCTATGTCTCTCTGTGTCTCTGTATCTCTGTGTCTGTCTCTGTGTCTGTCTGTGTGTCTGTCTCTGTGTCTCTGTCTCTGTGTCTCTGTCTCTGTGTCTCTGTCTCTGTGTCTATGTCTCTCTGTGTCTATGTCTCTCTGTGTCTCTGTATCTCTGTGTCTGTCTCTGTGTCTGTCTGTGTCTCTGTGTCTGTCTCTGTGTCTGTCTCTGTGTCTGTCTGTGTCTCTGTGTCTATGTTTCTCTATAGAGAAACATAGACACAGTCTGGTCTAACAGTATGTCTCTGTGTCTCTGTGTCTGTGTGTCTGTGTCTATGTTTCTCTATGTCTCTATGTCTCTGTGTTGTGTCTCTCTGTGTCTCTGTGTCTTTGTATCTCCGTGTCTCTGTGTCTGTCTCTGTGTCTCTGTGTCTGTCTCTGTGTCTCTGTGCCTCTGTATCTCCGTGTCTCTGTGTCTCTGTGTCTGTCTCTGTGTCTCTGTGTCTCTGTGCCTCTCCCTCTGCCGCCTCTCCAGTCTCATGAGTCGGTTTCAGAGCCTGCAGAGTCGGAATCTGAGCCTAGAGCTCTCTCTCTCCATCCGCGCAGGTGTCGTGCTCTGCGTGCGTCCGCAGCCCCAGCACGTGATGACGTGGGGACTGATGATTGGCTAAATCCAGTGCATTCCCTGACATTGGCACCTGCAGAGCGCGCGCTGATACTTGGAATTGGGGACGCGACTTCCTCGAACCATCAGCTATAATGGTCCTGGAGTTTCTCAAATATCCTGCTTCAAACGGAAGCAAATGTGCGCGTATCATAAATGTAATCTAAACATGTCACTAATTAGTCTGGATTAGATTAGATGTCACAAAATAGATTGACAAACACACCTGTCTTAACGTGAGACAAGGGACTCTGAACAAGTTTTATTTCTGAGCATTCTGAGGCAATGCCCTGACACCAAGAGTATTATGAACATTATGTTAATGGTTAAGGGTTTATTTATATCCTCTATAACTCTGCAGTCTGTGTCCACATGAAAATACATTTTATTTGTTTATAAAGGATTTCCTTCAGCAGGACCATCAGTGTGGACCATCAGTATGGACCATCAGTGTGGACCATCAGTGTGGACCATCAGTGTGGACCATCAGTGTGGACCATCAGTGTGGCCCATCAGTGTGGCCCATCAGTGTGGCCCATCAGTGTGGCCCATCAGTGTGGACCATCAGTGTGGACCATCAGTGTGGACCATCAGTGTGGACCATCAGTGTGGACCATCAGTGTGGACCATCAGTGTGGACCATCAGTGTGGACCATCAGTGTGGCCCATCAGTGTGGCCCATCAGTGTGGCCCATCAGTGTGGCCCATCAGTGTGGACCATCAGTGTGGACCATCAGTGTGGACCATCAGTGTGGACCATCAGTGTGGACCATCAGTGTGGACCATCAGTGTGGACCATCAGTGTGGACCATCAGTGTGGACCATCAGTGTGGACCATCAGTGTGGACCATCAGTGTGGGTGCCTGTTGCTAAACCTGTTTCTCTGTGACTGCTGCTAAACACACGAGCCTATGACAAACCCCATCCTTATTATATATATTTATATTATTGTTCCTCAACCTCTGCAGTGTTTTCCAGTGGGTCCTCATGGCACGATACTATATATATCAATACAATATATGTATCAATACTATATATATATATATCAATACAATATATGTATCAATACTATATATATCAATACTATATCAATACTATATATATCAATACTATATGTATCAATACTTTATATATCAATACGATATGTATCAATATTACATGTATCAATATTATATATATCAATACTATATGTATCAATACGATATGTATCAATATTACATGTATCAATATTATAGGATAATAATAATAAAAACATTCTGCAAATACGTTTTTTTCCTTGTGCAAATGTCTTTTCAAAACACTTAGGAACACGATTAGAATGACTCTCAGAGAAATCAATTTTCACTTCTTTTCATTTTGGAAGTGTAATTACTGTAATGTAATGTACATTTGTGGTTTATAAAACCTTTCTTTTTCTTGATGTAGTTAATATCAATGTCATTATGTTCATGAAATCCTTTTACTAAAAGCAGTTTTACTAAAACTGTTTTGTTTTTTTGTTGTTGCCAGAATTCTGTTAAATTGAGTGGGAGCCCAAAATGACTGCTCTGGGAGTCCTAAAGTAAATTAAGGCTTTGGAGTTTCATTTCTCAGCAGGAGGTGATGTCACATGATTCATTTCAATGGAAACGTTGTGCCACGGCTCCAAAAGGTGAACACTGCTCTGTCTGCTGTTTGCTCTCACTGCAAACACTGAAACAATAGGAGGTCATAAATGCATCAAGTATTTTTCTATCTTAATCTAACACATTCTGACTGTGTTAAAACAAGATTCTCCAATGGGACAAAGACATTTCAATTTATTTCAAAAACTGGTGCATTATATTCTCATTCCAAGGGAGAAATGTCTTGTATCATTTTAAAACAAGATCATTTTTTAATGCAGTCAGAATGTGCTCATATGAAGATACATTTTGTCAAATTTGAGCAGTTTTTGACTTGTTTTTCAATTTTTTTTTGCAGTGCGTCTGTGCTGTTGTTCTCAAACCAAATGAATAATAAACATAAAACAAGATAATCTCGACACGTATAACACATGTTCCTGTTTCGTGAGCAGCGATCAGTCCTGGCCCTCCCTGCTAATGGCTCCCAGGGGCCCTGACCTGTGTGGGTTTAAGGATCTCACACTCAATGATGCTTTGTTCACCTCTCATTAGTCTCATTAATGTGTAATTAGTGCGTCCTCAGTCTCTGCAGGAACTGGATTCAGCTGTTACAGCGATCAGGAGGAAAAGAAAAAGGGAAAGAGTAAATTAAAGTGATAGTCCGGAACTCTAAATGAATTACACATTTTAATAATTGTATTAAATTGATCTCCTGGCCTTAAATGTTGATTTAAAATAAGTTATTTTATGAATTCTAATATCACAGGTAAGTCCCGCCTTCCCTTCTCTTCGCTATAGCTCAGAATCCACGATGCCGTCGAAGTTAACCAATCAAGTGATGCCAAGGGCTGTCAATCATCCGCGCTGAGTTACCCATTTATATACTGAACCTATATCCATAATCATTTATATACTGAACCTATATCCATAATCATTTATATACTGAACCTATATCCATAATCATTTATATACTGAACCTATATCCATAATCAGATCCTCTGCAGATGTTCCTATAATGTGCAATTCATGATAATAGCTACTTCCGGGTTTACCACGTTTCCTTTTTCTTGCATTAAAACATTATTTTTGTCATGAAAACGTTAACAAATAATTTTGATAACCTCCGTGCATGTGTATTAATAATGTATATATATAATGTGTTCTCTGATTAACATTTAAATGTGTGGATTGTTACGGAAACATAGGCGTAGACCTCCCTCTCTTTTTTCTGACAAACTCCAGACAATCACTTTAAACATAAATCCCATCCTAAAAGGATTAAATTCATTTCAATTCAATGTATTTGTGTATCGCCTAAATCACAACAGTAGTAATTCTCTCGGAGGACTTTACAAAGCTGTGGATTCGCCAACACAGATCAGAGAATGATAAATGATAAAATGACATAGAGCCATTGGTCCATAAGGGGCGGAGACCAATGTCCTTAAATGTCGTTGTATGTGGAGTTTCCTGGATCATCACCGCTGTCAGTAGACCCCTCTGGATCAGAAATGAACAAACCCAGTGGGGGCGGGTCCCGGCTACAAAAGGTCCATGAGCTTGCCGCTGACAAACTGCAATCTCACTCCGGGCCTGTGGGGGTGTACCCTGAAAGAGAATTACCCAATGCTTTTGTATGACGTCTTCTTTCCTCTCAAAAACTTCTTTACAGGACGGTCCAAAAGTCGGTTCTTGGCCCAAAGCTACGTTCCAGATGCTGTCAAAGCTGAGAGGAGGATTTCTTTTTGGACCAGTCTAGTCCAGCCGCTGTGGACTTTTGAATGCACTCATTAAATTAATGGGGCTTCGTACCGGCTAACGCATGAGCAGATGCGTTTTTTTCATATTTTCCTTCCCCATGACCATTTTTAAAAAGCCCACAGCAGGCGAAAGGGGTGGTACATTGGTTTCAGCGGCGGAGATAGGTGTGACTACCTCCTTTAATATTTACAATCTATGGTAAAAAACCCAGTGGGAGAAAAGGGAGAAACCTCAGGGAGGCCCAGACTGAGGGAGTGGTAAGACCGTGTCACTAATTACATTACATTTGTATACGTTTGCACTGAACATAATACACAGTCAAAACAGTATGATGTTGTTAGTTAAAATTCTGCTACTTCCTGCAAATTTTATTTATTTTTCACAGGTTATACTTTTATTGATGTAAAACTAGAATCCATATTGAATGTCATAAAAAACCTGTAATTAAATGTGATGCAGCCATTTGTGCATTGTCCTCAAAATAAATTAACTACATTTTAAAATGTAGGTATGTTTTAATATAAAAGTCAGAAAGAGTCAAACAATCTCTAACTTTAAAGGGGACCAAGACAGGCTTCTTCTCTGACGATGTTCAGGTCCAGGTCAGTTGTAGCCGAAACCACTGAAGGGTTTTATGTACTGTGAGTATTTATTTGAATTTGTATTGTTTTTATCTTGTTTTGTGTATGAACTGTTCCAAACAATTAAACTTGCCTTGCCAAGAATTTAAGATCCAATATCTATTTTATGGATCTATACGGAGTCCTCTTCTCTCAGGTCTCTGTATATTTCTTTGGCCTGTGAGAGTGTGCATCAGTCCTGTCCAGTCCGGTCCAGTCCAGTCCAATCAGATCCAATCCGTGTCCAGTCTAGTCCAGTCCAGTTCTACCTGTGTCCAGTCCAGAACAGTTCTTTTCATGTTCAGTCTGTGTCCAGTCTAGTCCAGTCCTGTTCAGTGACAGTGATCTCCAAGCACTGCTCTCCTGCTCTGGAATATCTTTTCATTCATTGTAAACCATATTACTCCCCGCGGGAAATTGTTTCATTCATTCTTGCCTCTGTTTACATACCGCCATGCGCGGACGCGCGCGAGGCTCAGCGCGCACTTGCAGAGCAAGTACTGTGTATGGAACGCTTATACCCGGACTCTCTGATTATTATCCTGGGGGATTTTAATAAGGGAAACTTGAGCCAGGAATTACCCAAATACAGACAGTTTATCAAATGCCCGACCAGAGAGGAGAACACTTTGGATCACTGTTACACCACCGTGCGCGGAGCTTTTCGCGCTGTTCCCAAGCCAGCCCTCGGCTTCTCAGATCACTCCATGATACATCTGGTTCCTGCTTACAGACAGAGACTAAAGCTCTCGAAACCTGCAGTGAGGAGCTCCAAAGTGTGGTCTGATGAAGCTGTGGAAGAGCTGCGCGCATGCATGGAATCTACAGACTGGGACCTTTTCAGAGCTGCCACAGACAGCTTGGATGAATATACGGACACTGTGACGTCATACATCCACTTCTGTGAGGATAGCATCATTCCAACAAGGACCAGGGTCATCTATAACAACGACAAACCCTGGTTCACTGCTAAACTCCGGCAGCTCAGGAAAGCAAAGGAGTCTGCTTTCAGGGAGGGGGACCGCAGCGGCTACAAAGCAGCTAAATATCAGTTCAGGAAAGAACTGAAAGCAGCCAAGTCCCGGCACAGAGAACGACTACAGGAGCAGTTTGGTAACAACGATACTGCTTCTGTCTGGAGGGGCCTACGGGAGATCACCAACTACAAACCCAAAGCCCCCCCCTGTGCTGATGACCACAAGCTAGCTGACGATCTGAACTTATTTTTCAGTCGCTTTGATGCTGCCCCTGACACCTCCCCTCCCCCACCCCCCACTACTCTAACGACCCACCCATCAGCCCTGCCCCCAGCCTAACAATAGCCGCTAAAGAGATTAAACAACTCTTCCTGAGGCTGCACCCCCGCAAAGCTCCTGGCCCGGACCACGTGTCTCCGGCCACTCTGAGACACTGCGCCAGTGAGCTTACTCCTGTGTTCACGGACATTTTCAACTCCTCTCTGCAGTCCTGCCATGTCCCGGCCTGCTTCAAATCCTCCATCATTGTCCCCGTCCCGAAGAAGCCCAGGATCACAGGACTCAATGACTACAGACCTGTAGCACTTACGTCTGTCGTCATGAAGTCATTTGAACGCCTGGTTCTCTCCCATCTCAAGTCCCTCACCTCCCCCCTCCTGGACCCCCTGCAGTTCGCCTACAGAGCCAACAGATCTGTAGACGACGCCATTAACCTGGCCCTCCACCACATCCTACAGCACCTGGACTCCCCGGGGACCTACGCCAGGGTCCTGTTCGTGGACTTCAGCTCTGCCTTCAACACAATCCTGCCATCCCTGCTCCAGGACAAGCTCTCCCAGCTCAACGTGCCCGATTCCACCTGCAGGTGGATCACTGACTTCCTGACGGACAGGAAGCAGCGAGTGCGTCTGGGGAAGAATGTCTCGGACTCTCGGATTATAAATACAGGAGCCCCACAGGGCTGTGTTCTTTCTCCCCTGCTCTTCTCCCTGTACACCAACCACTGCACCTCCAGCCACGACTCCGTGAAGCTGATCAAGTTCGCGGACGACACCACCCTCATTGGACTCATCTCCAACAACGATGAGTCCGCCTACAGGAGGGAGGTGGACCGGCTGGTGTCCTGGTGCAGTGGTAACAACCTGGAGCTGAACGCCCAGAAGACAGTGGAGATGATTGTGGACTTCAGGAAGAGCACTGTCCCCCCGCCCCCACCCTCCGTGATGGACTCCCCCATCACCTCTGTGGAGTCCTTCCGTTTCCTGGGCACCACCATCACCCAGGACCTCAAGTGGGAGCCGACCATCAGCTCCCTCATCAAGAAGGCCCAGCAGAGGATGTACTTCCTGCGGCAGCTCAGGAAAGCCAAGCTGCCTGCACAGATGTTGGTGCAGTTCTACACGGCCATCATCGAGTCCATCCTCACCTCCTCCATCACCGTGTGGTTCGCTGGAGCCACAGTCAGGGACAAACAGAGACTACAGCGCATTGTGCGCTCTGCAGAGGAAGTGATCGGCCGCAGCCTTCCATCGCTGCAGGACCTGTACGTCGCCCGAGCTCGAGGCCGGGCTGGTCGTATCACAGCCGACCCCTCTCACCCTGCACATGGACTATTCCAACCACTCCCCTCAGGCAGGAGGCTGCGGTCCATCAGGACTAGAACCTCCCGCCACAAGAACAGTTTCTTCCCCTCTGCTGTTGGACTCTTGAACACTTCTTAACCTGTCCCCCCGCCCTTTATAAAGTCACTTTACTGCCCATCATACGTCACTTTACTTCACTGTACTGCTGTCACCTTACATTGTGTGCACCATGTGCACTTGTATATTGTAAATAGTAACTGTAACTCTATTTTAAATTTAAATTTATTCTTTAGAAGTGTTTTTTATTCTTATTTTTATTATCTCTTTTTGACTGTTGCACTGAGCCAAAGCAATTTCCAAGTCTGTGACCTCCCGTTACTTACGTTGGCAATAAAAATGATTCTGATTCTGATTTAGTCCAGTCCAGTTCAGTCCTGTCCAGTTCTATGTATGTCCAGTCCAGTACAATCGGGTCCGTGTCCAGTCCAGTCCAGTGCAGTCGGGTCTGTGTCCAGTCTAGTCCAGTCCAATGCAATCCGTGTCCAGTGCAGTCAGGTCTGTGTCCAGTCTGCGCCAGTCCAGTCCAGTTCAATCTGTGTCCAGTTCAGTCCAGTCTAGTCCAGTTCCGTTCAATCCGAGTCCAGTCCAGTCCAGTTCCGTTCAATCCGTGTCCAGTCCAGTCCAATCTAGTCCAGTTCAATCTGTGTCCAGTCCAGTCAAGTCCAGTCCGGTTAAGTCCGGTCCATGTCTAGTCTGGGTTAGTCCAGTTCTATCCGTGTCCAGTCCAGTTCTATCCGGGTCCACTTGGTCCCAGGGCTGCAGTCTGTGATCTGTACCTTGCCCTGTGTTTAAAACAAGAGAAACTGAAGGATCTTCTGAAGGCTCCTCTCTGGAGAGACGCTGGGTTCTTCTGTGGGGATGGTCTGGTGTCGCGACCTATCCGATCACCCCCCCCCCCCCCATCCTCCCCCAAAGTCCCTCCCCCCCTTCTCCACATGAGGATTTCATTATGGGATCCCCCCGTCCACCGCTGCTCCACTCAGCTCCTAAACCAAATGAGGAAATGTCCGGTCTGCGCTGACAGACTGAGGCTACAGCAAAGATACATGAAATATTCACATTTAACACGTTGACAAAGCCCTGATCTACAGGATTAATGATTAATGCAACATAAACACACACACACACACACACACACACTGAATCGGCAAGGAAAAACTCTAAAACCCACCGCTCCACACGGACACACGGACTATAGATCCAGGACTTGAGCTACAGAACGTGGACCAGGGCCGCGTAGCGGCCGCTGAACGTGGACAGGTCCGGTGCAGAACTGAAGCACTCCCAGGCGGGTCGGGCAGGGCAGTCCGCAGGTGTAGATGGAGGAGGCCAGGTCCAGAGGTCTTGTCATCGTACCATGAAACAGACAATGGAACAACGGGTGAATAGCAACAGATAAAGTAGGAAGGAGGAGAGGATAGTGCTCAAGTTACCATACGTCTCCCAGCAAACTGACTCCCTATGCAGCTTGATTGACAGTCTAAGATTTTTAGCCTTCCCTGAGTCTCACCTTCCTGACCATATACTAAACTAAAGAGGACTGTTTCAGCCTAGCCTAGAACGTAGGGTTAAAGATGCAGCGGACCGGGTCCTTCACAAGCAGGCTCCAAGACCGGACAACAACCTAACCATATGCTAAATTGAAGAAGAGTGTTTTAAGCCTGACCTTGAATGAAGAGACAGTGTCTGCTTCCTTAATGTGCGTGGGAAGCTGATTCCACAGTAAAGGAGCTTGGAGCTTAATGCTCTGCCGCCGACAGGGATTTTTGAGACCTTAGGAACCACCAGACATCTGGCGTTTGCGAGCGCAGTGCTCGGTTTGGTTAATATGATATCAACATGTCTTAAAGATAAGAAGGAGCCATTTATGGCTTTGAATGCTAAAAGAAGAATTTTAAACTTTACTCTGTACTTCACAGGAAGCCAGTGGAGTGACTTTTACACTGGAGTTATGTGCTCCATCCTTTTGGTGCCTGTTGAGATCCTTGCTGCTGTATTCTGAACAAGCTGACACACACACACACACACATGCACGCTCACACTCACACTCACACTCATACTCACACTCAATGATCGTCACAAACTAAACATTGAACTGACATCAATGAAAACATAAACAAAAGTCATTTTTATAATGTTCCAGTTCTATAAAAAACAATCACAAAAGCAAGGTCTCATTTATTAAACAATCTAAATACTTTCCTTTTGGAGGAGGTTGGATAAATATCAGCTTTTTTCTTGATCAAATCCTTTTCAAACAAAATGACGGGACATTTTGAACAGAGACAAATGTGACATTTGTGCAATTAATAGCAATATTTTAATTGTTTGCGCAAACATTCCAGAACATGACAACGCAAAGAGTCTCATTATTTTCAGAGGTCAAAGATTATGTGTGAAATGTCATCTTTGGTAATGAATTCATACATTTTCAAAAATCCTTCATTTCAGGCCTGGACATTCAGAATATGTTTTCACTTTACTTCAATTCAATTCAATATATTCTTGTATCGCCCTAAATCACAACAGTAGTTATCTCAGAGGACAACTACAAAATAAAAATGATTAATAGGTAAAACATCTTTCAAATATCTTCTTCTGTATATATAATTAGAACACTTTCATCAGTCACTCGGGCTCTGAACAGTGGTTTGGTTCACCAGAGCATGTATTTAAACATGTATTTTTGTCCAGACACATGCTTTTTCAGACAGAAAAATAGAAAAGAACGCTCAGTCCCTTGTACATTCAGCCCACACAGAAGCCAAATATAACATGTTTCTTTTGTGGTCTGATTGGTTCACAATTTTTAACAATTCTTAAAAAAGTGTTATTTATAAAACATTTAAAAAAAACACAGCACTAAGACGGGATGAGTAGCATGAGTCCCAGAGCAGTCATTTTGATGGCTGCCTTTCAAATGATGAGGAATTCTGGAAAAATCCCCCAAATTTACTACTGTGTAAATTCATATATTTCATTAAAATCACTAAAACTGGCTTATATACATGAAATACATCTAAGCTAAATTCCAACTGCTGGAAGTAAACACTGTGTTGCTATGGTAGCTCCAAACTGAGATTTCTCTGAACCAGTCCAGGATCAGTCCAGCACCAGTCTAGGATTGAGATAATCTAATAAACATAATAACACAGAAAAATCAACAACATGTAGAACTAGAAAGTCACAAAGTTATGAAAACCAAAAACAAACTTCCAAAACAAAAAGCCGTCAAATTGACTGCTGTGGGAGCTCTGGTGTGGAAGGAACATGGAGGATTTAAAGCAGAAAGTAAAGTACATGTACTAGAAGTCTGTAGTACCGTCATAGACAACAGTGATGTCGCACAAGTCCATAAAGCACAAGTTTCTCTCTGACGCCGTTTGATAAATCCAGCGAGTGCGTAACTTTCCATAGATTACGACCAAACAAAAGTGAGTGATTATTACGAGACGATTATTTACTATTGCAGAGCGGCTGACCCCACGCCCACCCTGACTTCATGCCTCCGTCTCCCTCTCGCTTTGGAACACAATGTATTTCTTGTTCTGCGATTATATTACTGCAGTCTTTCCTAATACTTGGACCGCTGACCACCGACCAATCAGCTTCCTCCGTGATGGATGGAGCTGCTTGGTTTCCCACCGCGAGTGCGACCTCAGAGAGCGGGCTGACTGATCCGCAGCTCCTTAACCTGTGGCCTGTGCTTTATATATGAGATAACATGGGGTGTATTAGGGGGCCCCTGGGAGCCCTGTGTAATCATCAGGGCCCAACAATGAGGCAATGTGTGCATCTATGAGCTCACATCCTGATTAGTGCTGGAGTAATGATGTGTCCTCACACTGGGATCTGACAAATACATACAGATATGGATGTATCAGATGAAAGGATTTGAAAATGAAACTTTAAACTTCCCATTACAGGGAAAATATGCAAAATAACCCCAAAGGTCTTCTCACAAATGTCCAGCAGATTCAATATCATTTAAAGAACGACTTGCATAGATTTTAAATGGTTAATTAATGCAATACACTAGTCATAAATCAAACAGACAGAAAGTCAAAACTAGCCTTGTCTTATCCATCCGTAAACTCCTGCGACCAATCAGCGAGCGGGGTAGGCGGGTGTTGTAGATACTGTATAGGTGTCGGTGTTGTCAAGAGTTAGCGGGGCAAATTTGCTGGTTGTAGTTTGGCAATGGCGGCGAATGCGATATTAAAGTAATCTGTTCTGGCTCGGCTCCAAATATCAAGAAATTTCAGTCGGAGCAAGAGGTATGTTTTTTATTGCTGCATCCATCCATCCATTTTCTACCCTTTAATTCATTTCTGGGTCAGGGGGGTGGCAATCAGAGATGCCACCCAAGTCTCATAGCACCAGCCCCTCACTGACCCTCTGCAGGTGGTGAGTCCACAGGAGGACGGCTGCTCTCTGAGTGTGAGCATAGCCTTGATCTTTCAGTGGGGGCTTTGGGCAAAGTGGGGTTAAGTGTCTTGTCTTTATTGCTGCAATTGAATGCAAATGTTATTGTTGGTTAAGATGTTGTGGCTCTACTCCCCACGGGCTCCGTTTGTGGCAAAGGGGATGGCTAAAGCTAGGCTAAATGCTAACGATTCACTCGGCCTATTACTATGTCACTCAGATCCAATCGTTTTAATCTGCAAGAGGAATTAACCCTTCCCACCTCTTAACGGAGCTCAATGGAGCAAATCCAGACCTTTGTAGGAAATGAAATTAGTACGATGGTATGGTAAGACCAGGCTAGTACGGAGAGACACTTCACCTTCTTCCTGATTACCGGCTGGAATATGCTTCAGATTCCGTAGTAGCGGAAGGCCCTGATCCCGCAGCAGCAGAAGGTTCCGGAGCTGCTGAAGGCCCTGATCCCGCAGCAGCAGAAGGTTCCGGAGCTGCTGAAGGCCCTGATCCCTCAGCATCAGAAGGTTCCAGAGCTGCTGAGGGCCCTGAACTTGCAGCAAGAGAAGGTTCCAGAGTTATTGAAGGCCATGATCCCGCAGCAAGAGAAGGTTCTGGAGCTGCTGAAGGCCCTGATCCCGCAGCAAGAGAAGGTTCCGGAGCTGCTGAAGGTCCTGATCCCGCAGCAGCAGAAGGTTCCGGAGCTGCTGAAGGCCCTGATCCCTCAGCATCAGAAGGTTCCAGAGCTGCTGAGGGCCCTGAACTTGCAGCAAGAGAAGGTTCCAGAGTTATTGAAGGCCATGATCCCGCAGCAAGAGAAGGTTCTGGAGCTGCTGAAGGCCCTGATCCCGCAGCAAGAGAAGGTTCCGGAGCTGCTGAAGGCCCTGATCCCGCAGCAGCAGAAGGTTCCGGAGCTGCTGAAGGCCCTGATCCCTCAGCATCAGAAGGTTCCAGAGCTGCTGAGGGCCCTGAACTTGCAGCAAGAGAAGGTTCCAGAGTTATTGAAGGCCATGATCCCGCAGCAAGAGAAGGTTCCGGAGCTGCTGAAGGCCCTGATCCCGCAGCAAGAGAAGGTTCCGGAGCTGCTGAAGGCCCTGATCCCTCAGCATCAGAAGGTTCCGGAGCTGCTGAAGGCCCTGATCCAGCAGCAGGAGAAGGTTCCGGAGCTGCTGAAGGCCCTGATCCAGCAGCAAGAGAAGGTTCCGGAGCTGCTGAAGGCCCTGATCCCGCAGCAGCAGAAGGTTCCGGAGCTGCTGAAGGCCCTGATCCAGCAGCAAGAGAAGGTTCCGGAGCTGCTGAAGGCCCTGATCCAGCAGCAAGAGAAGGTTCCGGAGCTGCAGAAGGCCCTGATCCAGCAGCAAGACAAGGTTCCGGAGCTGCTGAAGGCCCTGATCCCGCAGCAGCAGAAGGTTCCGGAGCTGCTGAAGGCCCTGATCCCTCAGCATCAAAAGGTTCCAGAGCTGCTGAGGGCCTTGAACTTGCAGCAAGAGAAGGTTCCAGAGTTATTGAAGGCCATGATCCCGCAGCAAGAGAAGGTTCTGGAGTTGCTGAAGGCCCTGATCCAGCAGCAGGAGAAGGTTCCGGAGCTGCTGAGGGCCTTGAACTTGCAGCAGGAGAAGGATCCGGAGCTGCTGAAGGCCCTGATCCAGCAGCAGGAGAAGGTTCCGGAGCTGCTGAAGGCCCTGATCCCGCAGCAGGAGAAGGTTCCGGAGCTGCTGAAGGCCCTGATCCAGCAGCAGGAGAAGGTTCCGGAGCTGCTGAAGGCCCTGATCCCGCAGCAGGAGAAGGTTCCGGAGCTGCTGAAGGCCCTGATCCAGCAGCAGGAGAAGGTTCCGGAGCTGCTGAAGGCCCTGATCCAGCAGCAGGAGAAGGTTCCGGAGCTGCTGAAGGCCCTGATCCCGCAGCAGGAGAAGGTTCCGGAGCTGCTGAAGGCCCTGATCGAGCAGCAGGAGAAGATTCCGGAGCTGCTGAAGGCCCTGATCCAGCAGCAGGCGAAGGCAAACACGGCAGACTTTACCTGAACATACATCAGCTTTGTTGTACACGTTTTGTCTTTGTGGACGCTCCCACTTCAGTGAAACACAAAGACATAAATGTGCTGAATCTGAGGCTGCTCCGTGAGTCTCTGAGCAGCTCGTAAATCCTGATCACGGCCTTCTGTTCAGAGGGAGGGTTTTAATAGATATTTCTACTTTAAAGAGTTTTCCACTGGTAAAGCTGCGTCTGGGTGGGTTTTCTGTACGAGCAATTGGAGGAAATGTATTAAACGGTATTGTCCAAAAAAAAACAACAAATATTTAAATACATATAACCCCAATTTCTATATTTCAACCTTAAAGAAGATCAGGGCCTGGAAGTGCTGTGATGGGAGACCTCTGGGAACAAACTGTGGTTGTGTCCTTAGGCAAGACGCTTCACGGACATTAGAATGAGTCTGGTATATGTGTGTGAATGGTTGGTGATGGTGGCAGAGGCCAATGGCACAGACTGGCTGCCTCGCTTCTGTCAGTGTGCCCCAGGGCAGCTGTGGCTAGAATAGTAGTTTATCATCATCATCATCATCATGAAAGAATAATGAATAATATGGGGCATGTCATAACTTTGTGACTTTTTCTGTTCATACTATTTGTACTATATTTCTATGTCGTTCTATTTTTTGTTCCCCCTTTAAATTACTAGTTACCATAGCAACACACTGTTTAAATGCATCAGTTAGCAATTAGACATTTTCAACAAACTTTAGCTGTATATATATTTGTCATTTGCAGGTACAAAAAAAAAATAATTGGAAAAATTGTCCAAAATAAATTACTTACTTTTAATAAATCCAGATTAACAGAAAAATATTTTGGAATAAATTCATCAAAATTTAATTGAATGGGAAGTGTCGAAATTTCGTCTCATATTTCTGGGAGTCCTAGTGTTACTTATAAGTCTCTAAATAACAAAAAAAACGCAAGACAGAAAAAAGAGCCCAAAAATACATTTCAAACTAAAGATAGAGCGAAGAACTTGATTTGAAGTCAATGTTTCACAGTAAATCAGCTTTACTCTAATGTTGGTGCTTTAAATATGCTCCCCCCACTTTTTGTCTCTCCAAAACACAAAATTTCAAGTCGGAAAAAACCTTCAGCCCAGAAATAAATATAAAGGGAGTGAAAACTCGACGCAGGGTCTTGGCCTGCGCCGCGTCCATAACTTAGAGCTTCAGTAGTTTATATTAAGACACACAGTGGTGAGCGATGGATCCACAGAGAAACCCCCCCTCCCTCTCTCTCCCTCCCCCTCTGCCCCCGCCCCCTCGGCCTGTCAGGACCCTAACTGTGGTTTATCTGTCTCTTCCTGGACTGAACTCGTACTTAAGCCTGGACCGTGTCTGCCAAAGTGCTTTAGTCTGTTCACACTGTTAAATATTCACTGGGTTTTAGGTCGTACGGGCTTCCACCTCCAGACGCTTCCCTCAAACACGGAACTCTGGAAAATGAAGATGAAGAGGTCCTTTATACTTCCAAGAGTGGGGAAATGTCAGTGTTGCATCAGCAGTTACAGAAAAAAAGGAATGAGGAGCACACAACACAAGATAAGTGAACAATAACTCTTTATTAAAATAAAATAACATCACACAACTTTAATTAAGAAGAAAGTATAAATATTCAAGAGCAGGGATATCAAGGTCAAATTCATCAGAGGCCAAAAAAACAAATTTGCTAAAAGCCGAAGGCCAGACCGGTTCAATGTTTATTAAAAAATATTAAAATTTTGTATACAACCCCCCCCATCTCCCCCACTCAGAAATGGACTAATAACATGGATGAAAATGACATAAGATGACAAAATGATTTCAGTTTAAGAGAAAAAATAAACAATATAAATTCTAATTATGTAATGTTGGCTTTACATTTGGTTTTATTCTAGAGAAAATTGGATTGAAAAAGAGGTATAGTCATGCGATCGTAGCCAACTGTCATTAATACTGCAACTTTATAATTATTTTAAATCATTTCAGGGGCCACTGAAATTATCTTGGGGCCGGATTTGGCCCACGGGCCTGAGTTTGACATGTCTGCTCTAACTTTTGGGTTGAAGGAGCTGGACCAGTGTGAGATCACCGTCAGACTCTGAAATGTAGCTCGCGAAAATTCAATTTGGTAGACGTCAGCAAAAGCTACCCCCTCCAGGCCGGTTCGCTTCCCCAGCCTATCGCTCGGCAAACGCCCCCTTCCAATCATCCGTGCCGGACAGGCAGCCGCTTAAAAGCGGAGCAAATCCCACTCTCTGCCTTCTCGAAGCCTCGCAAGCTCCTGAAGCCTTGCAGAGAATCGTCTGGACTCTGGAGGAATCGTTTTCGTCTACTCACGCTACTCGTGCGCGTCCCTGCACTGGCCTGCTCCTCCTCCGCGTCCCTGCACTGGTCTGCTCCTCTTCCACGTCCCTGCACCTGCTGTGGTTCGCATGTCTTCACTGCTCTCCTCCTCTGCGGGCTCTTTCTGCGGGCTGCTCCGTGGGGCCCTCCGCGGGGCCCTCCGCGGGTTTCTGTGCGGCTCGTTCCTCGTGGTCTGCTGCCGCACGCAGAAGGTCTGGCGGTGCCGTGCGTGTCCCTGCCTCGATTGGCGGTGCCGCGTTGTCCCGTTGCTTTTCCCGAGTCTCCTGGCATGTGAGTACAGTGAGTGTGCTGACCGCGGACAGATTAATCCCGGAGTTCTGGGCTGCAGGCGATTGGTTTTTGCCCTACGCACTTGACTGCAGGCGCCGGTTTTTTTTCGCCCCGAGCTTGGTCTGCAGGCTCCGTTTTCACACGTGTCTGAGCTAACCGAGGGGCAATGCATATTAAATGGCATCAATCTCTATCGTCTGAGGGATATACGAGGAGCTATGTGCATTAATTCAGATCATGTTCTGCCACTTGCAGTAAAACCATGCATTAAATAGCTAGGTCGCTGGTATTAAATTAGGTAACTAACTGCAGTGTTGCATTTTGAAAGTGCAGCAGGAAGAAAAAGGGCCGAACGTGAATCTGCAATGGGTGTGAAGTAGCGTTGGGGCTATGAACGCATGGATCAGTGATCGTTCATGCGCATCTGCCATAACCAAAGCAGAAGATGGCTCCAGGGGACGTCTGTTATTCGCATGGGAATGTTTCGGATTCGGGTTGATTTATTCCCTCAGGCTCTTAAACAACCGTGGGTTGGTTCTCTGACCGCCGCTGCTGCCCGGTCCCCGCTGCCGTTCCTACTGATGCCTGATCCCGCCGCTGCTGTTCCTGCTGCCGCTCCTGCTGCTGCCTGTTCCTGCTGCCGCTCCTGCTGCTGTCTGTCCCTGCTGCTGCTCCTGCTGCTCCTACTACTACATGTGCCGCTGCCGTTCCGCAGGCTCCCAGGCTGCACCCGTCTCTGTGGCTCGGCTCTTTCAGACACGTACGTAACCTGGCTCACGGAGACAAGCGGCGCACGCTGGCGTGACACGTCTGTCTGTTCGTATGAATCGCTTCGTGGTGCTGCTGCTCCTGCTAATACTGCTTCTGCTGCTTCATACTGCTACCGCTACTGCTGCTACTGCTGCTGCTTCATACTGCTACTACTGCCGTGCTGCTGCTGCTTCATGTACTTCGTCATCTCTCTTCACTTCGCTTCTCTTACTGAAACACTAAACAGCTACAACATATTCTACTGCCGTGGCTTTGATACAGGGTTTTGCCGTTATTATCTACGGACGCTGCAGCTGCTGCTGCCGCGGCTGATACAGGTCGTTGCCGTTATTATCTGAGGTTACTGCTGCTGCCGCTGCTGCTACTGCTACTGCTGCAACCCACCCTCTCAGAAGCTTATCCTGCTTCTAATGGATGCAGCCCGGCCGAGTATGCCGCGCTGCGCTGGACTCGCACCTATGCTCCCAGGGTCGCTTCGGCGGTCATGCTTCATCTCTCTACTGAATCTTCTGATTCTATCAGATGCAGCTGGCCGAGTAGCTGCGCTGAGCCGTCAATCGGACTCCTAATCAAAGGCATCCATACCGTGTTCTTCACTCTTCTGATCGCAGGCTCCCAATCATGCTGCCCATTCCTGCAGCGGCACTGAACTCCGGCTCATCTTCCAGGTACATGTCTGCCATCCTCGCAGCATCTTCCTGCTCGCCTTCCATGGCTTCTCTGCATAAGCGTTTCACTACTGCACACTCAACCTTCGTGCGGTCCGAGACACGGCTTTTCCCGACCATCCTACTATCCTGATTATCTACTCTCCAACCCAAGATTCTAAGCGTAAAGGCGCCTGCAACTTCATGGCCCTCTCCGATACGTCTCTGCCCCTCCAGGTCTCAGCTTCTACACGGACGTGCCCCTTCCGTGGGTTTTGGGGGGTTTTTTTCCAGGACCATCGCGGCCTCGCTGGGGCTCCCCCACCTCTCCGCAACAGCTGGGGCGCCGGTCCTCTGCGGCTTTCTCCGCCTACATCAGGCCAGACGCGTCCGCTATCCTGCCTGCACAACGTCAACTGGCTTCCTCGTAAGCTCCCAGCAAAGCAATACGAAGCAAAGTAAGTGAACCAATAAGATTCTGGTGGCGGCACGCACTTCTCTCAAACACTCTCCGCTGCCGCAGCGTCTGACGGAACGTGATGCGAGCGCTCACGTTCCCAGCGCGCAAAGACAACCCTGCCGCAGCGTCTGGTTGATCGTGATGCGAGCGCTCACGTCCCAGCGCTCAAAGATAACCCTGCCGCAGCGTCCGGTTGATCGTGATGCGAGCGCTCACGTCCCGGCACTCAAAGATAACCGCATATAACGGTCACAGCACATAGTGATAGCGGTCATAGCGTTAGTGATAGCGGTCATAGCGTTAGTGATAGCGGTCATAGCGTCAGTGATAGCGGTCATAGCGTCAGTGATAGCGGTCATAGCGTCAGTGGTAGCGGTCATAGCGTTAGTGTTAGCGGTCACAGCATAGCAAAAAATGGTTAGCGCATAAACGGTTCACAGCATAGAGATAGCGGTCACAGCATAGCGATAGCGGTCACAGCATAGCGAT